GTATCATCAGACTCTTCACCTGTTCTGTCCCTGTTGGGAGGGGCCCCCGTCTCCACTGTGAGCCAATGCTGGCAGGCCACCTGAACAGGATTCTGAACCCCAGGTCGGGACAGGGAGTTCCCAGAGATGGACTGTCAGATTACAAAGGACACGAAGCTACAGGAGTGTCTCTGGCGTTGGCTGTACTCAGGAATGTGAGAAACTTGTCTCTAAGGCTTATCATTGGTTAATGCCCCCCTGGGGAATGAGGGCTCTGCAGGGAAATTTGCCAGGTGGAAAGGGTTGTATGTTTCGGGTCTTACCTGCTGTGTGCACCCCTGGGAAGTCAGAGCCCTGAGAACCCATCACCCTGGTGTCCCAGCCTGGGAAGCAAGCTTTCTGCCATCAGTTGATTCATTCCTGAAAGGGAGCCAGCCACCTGGGGAATTGATCTGTCTTTTTCAAAAAGCCTTTTGTGAGCCTTGGGATCCAGCAGACTACAGAAATAATTCAGGGGAGTCAATTTCATCATCAGATCTATCATAAATTAGAAAAGAAGTGCTTTATTTGCATTATCTGTCATCTTCTCAAAACCTCTGTATTACCATTCCCATTTTACAGAATAAGAAACTGAGCTCAGAGATTTAGAAACTTACCCACTAACAGCCAGTAAGTAGGAGGGAAGGTTGGGATTCAAACTCATGTCTGTCTGACTCCGTGCTTGTGTTCTTTCTGACAACCTACTGCCATTGTCAGCTGCAGAGGAAGAAGGGTTGAGCATGACTATACAGAGCTTTCTACCCTGGCTTCCCCAGCTCTGTTGATAACTAATGGCTGTTCTCTTCCCTTCCAAGTCAGAGAGGCATCTGGTCATCAGTTGTGTTGTGCTGAAGTGTAACTAGGTTTCTAAAACCAGTGGAAAAGCCTGGAGGCCTATTACTAGGAGCTGTCAAAATAGGGCGAGTTGTATTTCTTTCTTCCTTTTCTTTCTTTTCTTTTCTTTTCTTTCATTTATCTATCTGAGAGAGAGACAGAGAGAGCAAGCAGAGGGAGAGGGAGAAAGAAAAGCAGACTTCCCGCTGAGCAGGGAGCCCGACGTGGGGCTCTATCCCAGGACCCTGGGATCATGACCTAAGCCGAAGGCAGGCGCTTAACCAACTGAGCCACCCAGGCGTCCCAGCAAGTTAAAATATTTTAGAAGGCAAAAAAGGCGGAAACTTCTAAAAAGCAAACCAAAGCTAGTCATAACACTTGGCACAAGTGAAAGGCCATCTTGGCCCTTAGAAGGAGCATGTCCCAAACTTTTTTAAAAATTGCCCTAAATAGCTTTCAGATAGCCTCAAATGTACATGAGGAATAAATTGATGATGTCTGAGAGTGGTTCAGAACATTTAGTGCCTTATGACCATTTAAATTGCTTTTAAAGGTTCCTGGGAAGCTGGAGAAGGTTGACTATAGGACAAATGGAGTGTATTTATTTAGTGTCTTGAAATCATCTCTACTTTTGGAGAACGTGGTTTTGGATTCTGTCCTCATTGAAGCCTCTTGGTGAACTTAAGCTGCCAACTGCAGGGTATAGAGCTGTGCATAGAGGGGACTTGGAAGCACTCTACCCTCCACATGAACCGGGAAGGGCAGGTCTGATGATAAAATCATTGCCACCAAGGGGCTGGGAGTCAGCTGCCTTCCTCTCTTCTACCACATAGGAAACACCTGTCTTCCTCCTTCCTTAGAATTGGTTCATTCCATCTATTTCCATAATTCAAATACTTGGGAATTGAGAAATAGCATATCCTCTGCTTAGACCGATGGCCGGGCAGTGTAGGGAGAAAGCCATAAATTATTCTAATTGCTGATATAAAGTACTTTCTGAATAGCCTGCTTGTAATGCTAGTGTAGGTGTGATTCCTTTATTTTATGAGGCTTGAATTCTGCACCCTTCTCTCAATCCTCTGAGTTCCCACTTCTGTTGCCTTCTGAATCCTTATTTTAGCAAAATCTCATAAAAGATCCAAGTCCACAACTAAATAGTATATGACCTCTTTCTAGGAGAAAAACCTCCAAATGACTGATAGCTTGAAACTTATAGAAATATAACTCACTCCTTTATAATTTCTGGGTGCAGAATAATGGGAAATAATAGGATTAAAATGAAATTGCAGGATGTATGCTGCAAGTAGAGCAATATCAAATTGTATTCAATATTCAAATATTTGAGATCTTAATGAGATTTGGGCAGATCTCTCTTAATCTCTCTTAATGAGATTTCTTTTATTCTACCATTTCATATAAAATCCCTTGGCAAGTGCATACATACATAGTTCAGATTTCACCTCAGGATGCCCAGAAAATATTCTGTAAGAAGTAGGCTTGTATTCTTTGGGCTTATAGAGAGCCAACCTAGTTCCTTATGGTCATGATCAGCAGAGCTGTAAACACCTGATATAAATTCTTTCCAGAAACCAACACTATTTAAATATTCAGTCTTTACTCCATGCCAATAGGCATGAGTGAACATACTGATATTTTTGAGGATATACAGTTGAGACCTCATTTAAATCTCATAACTTCAGGGGTGCCTGGACTCTGGATTTCGGCTCAGGTCATGATCTCAAGGTCCTGAGATCAAGCCCCACATCAGGCTCTGTTCTGGGCATGGAGCCTCCTTAAGATTCTCTCTCTCCCTCTGCTCCTTACACCACCACCACCCTGCTCATGCTCTCTCTCTCTCAAAAACATATTTTTAAAAAATCTCTTAACTTCATTGTAATTGCCAAGATGTCACCAACACCTCCCAGTCAGTATTTATAAGATTAAAGGGAGTCAGGAATACACGTTACATGACAGGTTTCCAGGGCTGAAGGGGTCTCTAACTTGCCCTTCAAAAGAGTGAGGTCAATGTAGTTTTCCTTCTGCAACTGGCTCCTCTGCTAAGGTACACCGAGTGTTTACCCATTCATCCAAGTACACATTTCTTCATTTTAATCAGTCTTCCTCTTTTAATTTTCTACTGAATTCATTTGACATGTAATACTTATGTAAGTTTAAGGTGTACAGCATGTTACCTTGATACATTTATATAATATGATTGTCCATGTAATGATATTTATCACATACATAATTATAGTACAATATTATGGTCAATATTCTGATTAATCTTACTCTTTTTTTTTTTTAAGATTTTATTTATTTATTTGACAGAGAGAGACACAGCGCGAGAGGGAACACAAGCAGGGGGAGTGGGAGGGGGAGAAGCAGGCTTCCCGCTGAGCAGGGAGCCCAACGTGGGGCTCGATCCCAGGACCCTGGGATCATGACCTGAGCCGAAGGCAGACGCTTAACGACTGAGCCACCCAGGCGCCCCCTGATTAATCTTACTCTTAACCCAACTTTTTTTTTTTTCCATATTACAAATTTTAGCATGTGATCGAAAGGAAATAAACAGATGGAAACAAAAATTTGTACGTAAGCATATATCACAGCTTGTCGACAGGGACTGTTGGGAAGAATTTCTCTCTAGTCTGAGGGGTACGAATAGTTGCTTTCTTAAACAACTGGTTGGTTTTTATGTGACATCTTACAACCGTTTGTGTTTTCCTTTGTGTTTTGGCGGCTAGAAGGCTAAGAATCAAATTTGTGGTCTGTCTCTAGCAAGTATATAAGCATGGATATATATAAGCATGTATGTGTATGTACATATATATGCACTCATACATATATATGTACACATAGAGAATAGCATGGATGAACCTTACTGCTTGATTCTTCATTTTCCTTTGGTCCTGAAAAGTAATGTAGATTTCTGCCAGAGAATTTTTCAAAGGGGCATTTTGAGGGTTTTACCCAGCGTATGGCATAATAAGTTTCCCAGAAATCCTCTGGAGCAGCTGCTCAGATGCTTCAACTGCCCTTATTCAGCGGGTGGGTCCTCTTCCCTCCTGCCACTGTCTTCTGCTTCAGACTTCTGGGTTCTGTGCAAGTTCAGGCTTGGGCCACCTCCTGACCTCTACCACCCCTGCACTGCGTAGCCCTGTGGATATCGAATTATTTTCTGTCTCTTTCTCAGTGACTGTTTTTCTTGAGAAGATGCTGACGAATGAAATTCTCTGCCTCATCGTATAAGAAAAAGAACCTATCTTTAACAACTCCGTAATAGAAAAAAGGTAGTAACTGTAGAAGGTGACATAGAACTTAAGGAAGTCTCCTGGGTTGATGCTTGGGGTTCATTTCTTGCAGGTTTGTGGGATGATTTGAGTTTAATATTCTTAAAATCTGTCCTTTTTCCCCCCCTAGGTGAATGTTGGATGTGTACCCAAAAAGGTAGAATTTTTATTTCTTCTTCCTTCCACACTCCTTTTACATATTTGATTAACGAATGCATTGATTTATTAGCTTAGAGTGCATGAGTGAGATTATATCTAGGTCCAGTAATTAGGACTGGACCATCTGCACAGGATTGCTTTTGCTCAATCTAAATAACTGAATGGAATCTTTTTTTTTTTTAAAGATTTTATTTATTTATTTGACAGAGAGAGAGATAGCAAGAGCAGGAACACAAGCAGGGGGAGTGGGAGAGGGAGAAGCAGGCTTCCCGCAGGGCAGGGAGCCCCATGCGGGGCTCGATCCCAGGAGCCTGGGATCATGACCTGAGCCAAAGGCAGACGCCCAACGACTGAGCAACCCAGGCGCCCCCTGAATGGAATCTTCTTAAGTATTCCCATTTAATTCTGTAGCCTCATGGATTCTCTTAACAACTGTGGTGGTTTTCGTTCCTAGTGTCTGTGGTATCGGGCACACTGAATGAACTTGTCCTTCACCTGTGACGAAAGACGAAGAAATGGCCACTCTTATTTCCAAAGCTGCCTCTTGGTTTATACCGGCAAATCATTTTACTCCACATTGGAATGTGCTTTCAAAGCATATTATACTCCTAAACTTAAAACCTTTTGTTACTGAGATTACCTTCTAAACTGGCATTTTTTTGGTAACAGGTAAGCAAATATGCCTAATCTCTTCAGTGACACATACCTGAGTATAATGCCAGAAGGGTTTTTTATAATCTGTTCCTTGGTATAAGTACGTGGGGTTTGGGTTTTGTTTTTTGGGGGGTTTTTGTTTGTTTGTTTATCATAGGAAGGTTTCTTTTTTACTGTGGGACACTTTTCCTCAATTATTTTCTTTCCTTTTGGTCTTAGATTTTGGACTCTTCTAATTGGAGTCATGCAGTTATGATACATGAATTACATAAATCAGTTATAAGGTGGTTTTATGTAGTTGAAGCCAGTTATGGTAGTAAATCCGTTGACTGGTGCTACCTCATTATTTAAAAATATTATCTGGGCCTAGTAGCCTGAATTTGTAGTATTTTGTTCTCATATATTATGTTTCATTTATTCCTTCTATTCTGATCACATGTGCAGGACATTTACCTTATATTTTCATAGGGCTCTACTGACTTCAAAGTGCTTTTGCATTCTTGAAGACCAGTTGGTAATTGCCTCTTGTTTTCTAGAACAGCCTGAAGCCTGGAGTAACTCCTCCGGAAGGGTAGTGGGGCAGCAGTAGAGAAGGAATCAGATGGATGGGCCTGCTCCTACCCAAGTTAGGATGAGCCTGGAAGTCCAATGCAGTTCATACAGAGCTTCTCCAGAGGGTGTCTGATGCTATAGCATCATATATAATACGAATCGGAAGTAAATAAATACGGTACCTGATGATGGGAAGATGTATAGTGGTGTTTCTTTTTTTTTTTTTTTTAAGATTTTATTTATTCATTTGAGATACAGAGAGAGAGAGAAAGCATGAGCAGGGAGAGAGGCAGAGGCAGAGGGAGAAGCAGGCTCCTCGCTGAGCCAGAAGCCCAATGCGGGGCTCGATCCCAGGACCCTGGGATCATGACCTGAGCTGAAGGCAGACGCTTAACCATCTGAGCCACCCAGGCGCCCCTATAGTGGTGTTTCTTAAAATAACCTATTTTATTTTGTAGTATTGACAGACCTTTCGTATGTATTATTTAAGATAAACAGTCTAGCAGATAAAATGGTTAATTCTGTATTATATGAATTTTACCTCAATTTAAAAAAAGCAGAATCCAGCAGGGTCATCAGTTACTCATCTTTAGGCATAAAGGGAGAACGGTACAAAGAAGGAATCTTAGGGCTTGTCAAAAATGGAGTCTCAGGCTTGTCTGACAAAGAAAAATGATAGTTTGTCATCTAGAGTTCTGGATGCCAACTTGAATTTAGTCATCATGATAATCAGTTGGCATAAAAGGCCTTTATGGATTTTAGGCTGCATTCCACCGAGATGCAACAAACTGCTGAGTTCCAGATGTCTAATTACACACGTCCTTAACAAGGACATGTTCATAGGCACCGACGTTATAAGAGGGATTCATTCTCTTAAGGTTTTCAGTCCTCAACTTGATCTCATAGCTTCTTCTAAATCACTTTACTGTAAACTACAGATGCAGTTCCATTTCCTAGAACTAATCACAGAAGACAGGGCTTCAACAAATCTGAAACTTAAAACAAGGATGGTAAGCAACAATACATTTTACCGAAGGACTGGGAGGCGTATAACATCCTGCTTCTACAGAGTTTATAAAGTAGGGAATTTTTTTTTTTTTTTTTTTTTTTAGATTTTTATTATTTATTTGCGAGACAGAGAATGAGAGACAGAGAGCATGAGAGGGAGGAGGGTCAGAGGGAGAAGCAGACTCCCTGCCGAGCAGGGAGCCCGATGTGGGACTCGATCCCGGGACTCCAGGATCATGACCTAAGCCGAAGGCAGTCGCTTAACCAACTGAGCCACCCAGGCGCCCTAAAGTAGGGAATTTAATAGAAATAATTTCCTGCAACATTTCAGCAGCTTCCTTACAACATCTGTCTGGTCATATTGCTGAACTTTTAGAATGTTTAGTTTTATTTTTATTTTAAAGTTCATAATTTTTATCTGCTATTATGTAGTTCCCTTTCATGCATGATTTCTTTCTTTCCTCAGGATTCATATACTACTGTTGTGGCTACCTTTTTTAATTTTTTTTTTTTACAGGTAATGTGGAACACAGCTGTCCACTCTGAATTCATGCACGATCACGTTGATTACGGCTTTCAAAGTTGTGAGAGTAAATTCAATTGGCGGTAAGCGTTAATGCTCAGAGGGTTCTATTTACAAATATAAATATTTTTCTTTCATAATTAAATGAGCTGCAAACTTTTTTGGGAGGGTGTTACTGTGGTAAAATACATATAACATAAAGTTTTGGAGGTGATGGATGTATCTGTGGCCTTGATTGTGATGCTGGTTTTAAGGTGTATGCTTCTCTCTAAACTCATCAGGTTGTATACAGTAAATATGTAAATAGGTACAGTTTTTTGTATGTCAGTCTTACCTCAATAAAGTGGCTTTCAAAGACACACAAAGTCCATTGTAGGTATTTTTAAGTTGTCAATACAGGGCCATTAAGTATATTCATAGTGCTGAGCAACTGTTACCACCATTCATTTCGAGAACTTTTCTACCATCCAGAACAGAAACGAGGGCTCATTAGACAAGAACTCATCTTCCCTCCCCGCCAGCCCCTGGTATCACTATCCTACTTTCTGTCTCTACGAATTTGCCTATTTTAGGTACTTCATATGGTATTTGTCCTTTTAAGTCTGGCTTGTTTCACTTAGCATAATGTTTTCAGAATTCATCCATGTCGTGGCATGTCAGAATTTCATTCCTTTTTAAGGCTAAAAAATATTCCCTTGTGTTCCTACCACATTTTGTTGATCCATTCAACCTTCAGTGGACTTCTAGGTTGTTTCTACCTTTTGTCTGCTGTGAATAATGCTGCTGCGAACATTGATCTACAGGTCCCTGCTTTCAGTTCTTTTGGGTCTATACCTAGAAGTGAAATTGCTGGGTCAAATGGCAATTTTATTTATTATTTTTTTTTAATTTTCCTTTTTTTTCCCCCTACCCTGCCCCCTCAAATGGCAATTTTATGTTTAATTTTTTAAGGGACTGCCATAAGCTTTTAGGAGCCCTCAGATTTTCGGAAATTCATTCATTTATTCAACAATTATTTACTGAATGGCTGTTAAGTACTAGGCACTTGCCAAAGCAGCTCTTCCTGTCTTTTCGGCAGAAAGAAAGTTATGTACCGTGGATTCCACCTGAACGTCCTCCCTGGAGTAGAATGAGGGCTCTCCACATATGGCAGAGCAGGTGGACACAGGGGAGGGGACAGCTGCCTTCAGAGATACTCACTCATAGGGATCTTGTTGACGGCTCTCCGTGTGCATGATTCGCTGCTGATAGGGGTGTTCAGGGACAGATGCCCCAGTCACTAACTGAAAGAAGAGAATCCTCTTTCTCAGTACTGACTCAAGTTTCATTACAGTGTCATAAAGGAAAAGCGTGATGCCTATGTGAGCCGCCTGAATACCATCTATCAAAATAATCTAACCAAGGTGAGTGTGCTGGGTTTGGAGCTTGGAGAGGGAGCTATTCTCTGCTGGACTGTGCTACCCATCTGGCCAGACAAAAACATAGCCTTTGCACGTGTCTCTTGTTGTTTCTTTTATTTCTTTTGCAGTTAATGATTTTGAGGTAGACCTGCCAGAGCGAGTCCCTGACTCAGGAGGCCAGTCTTTTTTTCTACAGAGTGGGCAGCCCATGCTATGATTGGTAGACCGGGTCTCTCATAATGGCCGCCCCTTGAGTAGGTCCGGCCCTCCACTTAGTTCCAGAAATCCAAAACATAAGAGACTGATTTACACAGCAATGCTCCAGCTTATTAATTCACATCGGAGGTACTGCCTGGCTAGAGAGCTGCCATTGTTCATTTGCTCACAGCAACCTTGTCCTTGGTGGCTAGATGTACTCAAGAGAGCAAATTATGGTTCAGAAGGTTGTTTTTTGTGAATGAAGTCTGATCAAGAACATTGGGCAAAGGCATGTTTACCTTCAGCAAATATATATTGTCCTTTGCTAATCTGAGGCTTTTTCTGCCTTGGTGCTTAAATGTACTCCTTCCACTCGGGGCTGCTGGAGACATTGACAAATGGTGTACCATCCATCGGTCCTTTTTCTTTTCTTTTTTTCTCTCAGAGAGAGAGTGAGCAGGGGGAGGGGCAGAGGGAGAAGCAGACTCCCCGCTGAGCAGGGAGCCTGTCTGGCAGCTCAATCCCAGGACCCTGGGATCATGACCTGAGCCAAAGGCAGATACTTAACCAACTGAGCCACCCAGGCGTCCCCATCTGTCCTTCTCTTGACAGCATACATCCCACCACCCTTCATTTGCCTTTGTGGTTTCACTTTGCAGTTCCTAAGATTTCCGCAGGGCTTAGATTGTATTTAGATCAGTAGATTGTTGGTGATATTTGGGCCAGCATAATCTCATCGGCAGCATGTTTATAAGCCAACTTTTAGGGTTGAGTTACTTCTATAAATGGCTAACCTCTTATATTTTTATATTGATTCTTATTCATTGGGTTTATTTTTTTGGAAGGTGATATTTTCTGACCTTAATCCCCAATTCAAGAGGGAAGTGTTTGGGGGCCTTTTGTCCCCTCTACACTGCTGACAAGAGATTTTAAGACCGTTAGACATGAGCATAGAGGCACCACGTGCTATACTAAAACACCCACATCAGTTTTTTTTAAAAAATGGAGCGAGCGAAAATACTTTTGCGGAAGAGCTAGAAAATCACTCAGGGAACAGCATTTTTTTTTAAATATTCACAAATCTCGGCGTGTAGTCGAACTTACTGTGTGTGACCTTATGGGAAAGAAATTACTTACAGTCGATCCAGAAATTGTGAATAGGAAGGGAAACTTTCTGTCAAGTATCTTAGGAAATGCAAATAAAAATTATATCGGTTCCTCCCCCACATGATTATTATTGGCAGTTGACCCATACGCCTCTTTGTCTAGCACCCTGTGGAAAACCATTCTCTCCTGAGGGAGGTTTTTCTTGTGGCTTCTGGCACTGATCTTGATTCAGCTTGGTTAAGCAGGTCATCTGTAGAGCAGGCCTGGAGAGCTGTTTGGGAAGGAGGAAATAACTTAAATCAGAACCGAACATGTTCCAAAATGTTGAAATACGCTCTTTTGTGATCAAGCTCCTATGATTCCGTTGTCCTGATAAGTTGCCCACATTTGCTTGCCGGTAACATGTATCATGGCTTCAGACGCTTGCTCTCATTCCCCGAAAGGGAGGCCCTGGCACGGAGGGTGCCAGAGTCTGAATTCTCAACATCTCTAGCGCAGAACTTAATTGTCGTGGTATTTGTGGTATTCTTCCATTCTGTTTGCGAAAACAGAAGCATTGCATTTTCCTCCCTTGGCCAGAGTGTTCTTCTTTCACCTCTACTTCCTTCACCATTATCCTTTTTTCTTTCTGAGCTTTGTGTCCCTCCTGCAGACACACCATTCTTCAGTGTGATTTCATTGCAAGTGAGGAGGACTTTCTCCCTAAACTCCTGGGGACAGGGATGTAGGGTTTCTCCCTGTGGAGGTGACTGGCACATATTTTTTTGGTCTCTGGATTTTGGCCCAAGATAGCGTCTTTATTTCTTCTTACGGCCTACCAAATGGCAATCCCCTTACGTGAGTGTCAACAGATGTTTTGCCGAAACTCAGACGTTACAGAGTTGTCTTGGCATCAGCAAACCTCAAATCCAGATAGCCTCTGTAGAGAAATGGAAAGAGCTGATACATTGCCACTGGTGTTTTTCTTGTATCTTGAGCACAGGCTAATGTCACGGTCCCTTCTCCAGTCCCATATAGAAATCATCCATGGCCACGCAGCGTTCACGTGTGATCCCGAGCCCACAGTAGAGGTCAATGGGAACAAATACACTGCTCCTCACATCCTGATTGCCACAGGTGGTGTGCCCTCACGTCCTCAGGAGAGCCAGATTCCCGGTGAGTCTTCTCAAGGCAAATACCTGTTGTTAATAGTCAAGTGGAGTTTACTCTTGTCTTCAGCCTTGCAAGCCATGCTAGGGGATCTGCCTGTTCCAGTTCTTTCTCTTGGACAAGGCCACATGGCCAAAGGAGAAAGTCTCTGCAGAGCCTAAATGTAATTGGCTTAACTGGTACCTAGTGATGGGGCAAAGTAAGGTATTTTTTCCAGCTCCAAGCTCATACATTCTACAGGTAACACAGGGAGAAAAATCAGCAAAGAATCTCCTCCTTTCCTTCTCAGCATGACAGAGATGGTCACCTGCCTGGATTTGTCACATGGGTTGTTATTTATAAGACATGTTCTGTAGTTACTGCTTGGTTCAAGGAAGTGAAATCTTGTGTGGATGTGACTTAATGACCTATTAAACCTTCTTCGTATGCATAGTTTTCTCTCTCACACAGAGAATTATAAATTTAAAGCAGTAAGGAATCTCAGATAGTCCTATTCGCTCTTGCATTTTATGCACACAGGGATAAGCCATGAACATACTGCCTTATTCTTACATAAGAAACATGGTTCAAATCTTTCTCCTCGACTAGATTATAAGGTCTTTTTGGGCGGTGATCATAGCTTATACAAATTTTGTATTCTCCCTGGATTGGCCTCATAAGATCCATGACCAACCTCAATTTATATGGGAAATTTTGAGTGTATATGCATTTATGTATTTTGTTCTCTCTGGGGAGAGGATCCAAAACTTTCACCAGCTTTTAAAGGGGGTTCATGACCCCCAAAAGGTCAAGAGCAACTACCGTAAAAGATAGTAAGATACTGTTCTCAGGTACCTTAAAATTTAGTTGAAAGATTGGACATAAGCATCCTAATATGAAACAGTCTCCAAGATTGAATGTTAAGTGAAAAAAAGCAAGGTGTGCAACAGAGTGTATAGTATGCTACAATTTGTATCTTTTTCAAAAGGCAGGGGGACTGTCCATATGCACTGGAATATTTCTGGGAAGATACTCAAAGCTCTGTCATGCTGACTCCCTCTAAGGAGAGGACTAAAGGTCAGGGGTGGGAAGACTTCTGCTTTTCACTAGATGCTCTGTTGTGCTTTTTAAATTTTTAAAATATATATATTTATTAATTTAAAACATATAACAAAAACAAATGCAAAGAAATAAAATAAAAGGTCAATGTTCCAAGGTTATTTCCAGATAGTGAGGCTTGGGGTGCTCACAGGTGGGACAGATTACTATGGGATGGCATCAACCAAAAAGACTTCCCAGGAAAAGGGTTCACAAACTGAGTGGTACGTGCTGAGGAAGAGGAAGACTGAAAGAACCAGTGGGTAATAAAGATGTCTTGGAAAGACATTCAGTCAATTCGACCAGTTTTTCCAGCACTGAAGTTCTGGGGGCACATTCATTAAGCGGAGACTAGAAGACGGTTAGGCCCAATTGTGGAGACTTACAAAGTCAAATGAAGGAATCTCTAGAGTTTGCGACAACTGGGTCAAATAACTGTTGGCTTATAAATAGGGTTGTGACAAGATCTAAGTGATAATTTTAGAAAACTAATGCGACAATGACTCACAGAGGAGAGAGATCAGTATAGAAAGCTGTCACAGTAGAATGTATGGGAGGTGATGATATGGTTCTGAACCCCAGCATCAGCATCTGACCCGTAAAGGGGAAGCTCAGTTCTGCAGACGGTTACTGAGCCACTGCAGTGGCCCAGGCGTTAGAAAGGAGAACAGGCATAACAGCCTCAGAAGGAAGACTCAGCTGCTGGATTTCATGGATTCCAGGACACATTTAAAAAAAAAGTATATTGGTCACATCTGGAATCAGGATGTGTCCTTTTTTTTTTAAAGATTTATTTATTTATTTTAGAGGGAGAAAGAGAGAGAGCACAAGTGGGAGGGGAAGTGAGAGGGAGAGAGAGAATCTCAAGCAGACGCTGCACTGAGGGTGGAGCCCGAAGTGGGGCTTCATCTCATGACCCTGAGACCATGACCTCCGCCAAAACCAAGAGTCGTATGCTTAACCAGCTGCGCCACCCAGGCGTCCCTGGATGTGTCCTTTAATCATGGCACCTCGAATTTGGCAAAGTGCAATATTTTTATTAATTGATGAAATACTGTGGGGGGCATTGAGAGAAGGAATCCTCGATTGACAACTCAGGATTTCATTTGGATTATTGGTGGAAGGTGGTCCATTTAACTGAAGTGGCAAACTTGAGAGAGGGATACGGTTGGGACATAAAGTTTAGGTTCAATTCTAAACATACTGAGTTTGAAGCAAAGTAAAATTATATAGCAGGGCAGTTAGAAATCTGGGACTGGAACTTGGGGGGGAGGTCAAAACTGGAATATTTGGAAATCCTCCACAACGAGGGGAGAGTTGGCTTAAACCTTTGGAGAAAAACACAGAAGAGAGCCAAGGCTGAGCTGAGGGGTTCATGTCTACATTAGGGGGCAGGAGAATGAAGCAGAGCCGGCAGGGTCTCTTCACAAGAGCCAAGAAGGTCTTAGTTCCTTGGAGAAATGTAATAGGTAGTCGTCACTGCTTTTATTTCTAGAGAGAAAACGGAAATGTGCACTCAGGGAAGACTGGGTTGGCAGGTTCCCAAGTGGAGACTTTGACAAAACTTGTCAAAACAGTATGTGATGGGGCGCCTGGGTGGCTCAGTTGGTTAAGCGACTGCCTTTGGCTCAGGTCATGATCCTGGAGTCCCGGGATCGAGTCCCACATCGGGCTCCCTGCTCGGCAGGGGGTCTGCTTCTCCCTCTGCCCTCTTCCCTCTCGTGCTCTCTGTCTCTCATTCTCTCTCTCTCAAATAAATAAAATCTTAAAAAAAATATATTAAAAAAAAAAAAAAAACAGTATGTGATGGCAGAGAAAGCATCTGGGTCCTACACAAAATATTGATACCGTTTTACAAGAGAAAGCTCAGTCTGTGTGATCTGTATTGCATTTTCCTACACAGGTGCCTGCCTAGGAATAACCAGTGATGGATTTTTCCAGCTGGAAGAATTGCCTGGGTAAGCTGGTTTCCTTCCCAACCTCAGTGTTCATTCTTTCTCAGTCTTTCCTGCTAACACTTCTTCTACCTCCCCCTCCCAGCTGTTAAATGCAGGCATTCCTTGAATTTTCTTCACCTGCTTCTCTCTTTATGACCTTGGGTATCTCATCCACTAATATCCTAGGGAACGACATGGATCTTTTCTTTTCTTTCTTTCCCTCTCTCTCTTTCTTTCTTTCTTCTTTTCTTTCTTGTAGATTTATGTATTCATTTGAGAGAGAGAGAGCGGGGAGGGGCAGAGGGAGAGAAGCGGGCTCCCCGCTAAGCGCAAAGCCAACGGCAGGGCTCGATCTCACAACCCGGAGATCACAACCTGAGCCGAAATCAAGAGCCGGATGCTTAACCAACTGAGCCACCCAGATGCCCCCTGACTCAGATCTTTCATTACAGTTTTTAGGACCAGAATCAAATACATGGTGGTTTTGAAGAATAAATAGTAAAGTCCTAAAACCATCTTCTTTCTTCACCTTAATACAGCGTCAGCTGATGATGTGTCTCAAGTAACTGATTCTGGTTTCCAAAGCAGCTAGTGCAGGGAGAATCTCCATAAATGAAGGCTCTGGCACTTTCACAAAAGAGAGCTTTTCTGAATTTGTCCTCTACGTGTGTTTGTCCAAAGGACCTTAGTAAACATATGTCACGGATTTAGATATATAGAAAAAGAATCTACCGAGGAAGATCGTTTCTCCAACTTGAAGAAGCTGCCACTTGCTGGCTTTCGAGGTTGCAGGGTGCCTCCTTTCGCTCTTGATAGGCGAGGATACCTAGGAGCTAGAGGAGGGGCCGTTTGGCTCAGGACTGGTCTTTATCTCCCTCTGAGTAGCACTCGCTCTGGAATCAGTATTGCTCAACAGTGCCGCTCCCGTTGGAGGTCTTAATCCTGCGTTTTTATAAAGACCTTCACAGAGGGTGACTAATAATCCATTGTCCGTACCTTTACCTTAATTCACCTGGAGCCACAGACGGTGAAACGGGCAAGAGGGCTTTGTTGAGTTTCATAGCTGCGGTGGAAACCTCCCATGAAGATATTCAGAGCAGGCACCCTCCTGACTTCGAGAGAAGCACAGTCTGTTTAGATTTGCTGTCTGCAGGGCATGCAGCCACGTCAGAGAAGCGCTTTTCTTCCCTCATGATCCTCCCTGTCCTGTTTGGTTTTAGGGTTGAATGATGACACATGTGAGAATGTTTCCAGAAATGTGGTCCTTACTTGTCACGTTTGGATGATACAAGTCAATTCTAGACTCACCCTCATAGAAGCTTCTTTATAGATACCTGTATAAAAGTAAAATCATTTATTTTAAAATATTTAAAATGCTAGCAATACAAGTTTAATAAGTGAATTTATGTGTGTTAGGACAAAACACTCTGGGAACATAGGAAATGAATGAACATTTTTTTTTCTTTTTTTAAAAGATTTTATTTACTTTAGAGAGAGAGTGCGTGAGCGTGTGTGAGCGAGGAGGGACAGAAGGGGAGGAAGAGGGAGAAAGAATCTGAAGCAGATGCCTCACTGAGCGGGGCTCGATCTCATGACCTCAAGAAAGGAAAAAAGGTCAAATATAATAGGAAAGAGGGAGGCCGAGATGGAAGAGCTATTTCATACCTTCCAGACTATGTAGACATTTCTCTTTCCAAATCCTGGATTGTAAGATAGCTGACTTGCAGCTATTTGGGTTCACACTTCGTCCTCTGTCTAGACCAGACCCCTCTGATGGCAGACTCACCACATGGATACCTTACCTTTGGAAGGTGGTTAAGAAAGGTTTCCTTTGCTCTTTCCAGATTGCTTGCTTCTTATCCTAGCACTGTAGCAATGGTAGAGGACCGTGTTTGAAGCGTTAGAGAACCCCAGCCCTAAACGGGACAGCTCCAGCTAAGGGGCATTTATGCTCCAGGCTGCAGCATGGAAGTAATCCTCATTTCTCTAGGGCCAGGATCAGCTTCTCCACCACTGACTCAGACCTTTGTCAGCATTCACCTAGTGTTGAAGATGCCTTCTTAGACTAAAGCTTATGCAGGAAGTCTACTTTTAATTCAGATCTATCCTATAACTTAAATGGCTTGCTTTAATTGGCCTATAACCTACTGCAAAGATTGGTAGAATTGAATAGTGATCAAGGAGAAGTTCTGAGCAGGGAAGAATCATGGTGAGTGTGTTGCCAGTTTTCGTTTTAGGTATGAAGGTCACTCATAAGGAATCCTCTCTGGGGGCAGCCTGGGTGGCTCAGTCGGTTAAGCATCTGCCTTCGGCTCAGGTCATGATCCCAGGGTCCTGGGATCGAGCCCCGCATTGGGCTCCCCACTGCGCAGGAAGCCTGCTTCTCCCTCTCCCACTCCCCTTGCTTGTGTTCTCTCTCTCGCTGTCTCTCTCTGTCAAATAAATAAAATCTTCAAAAAAATAAAATTAAAAAATCATCTCTAGTTTCAAAGGTTTTTTTGTTTCCTCTCTAGAGAAATGAGGCTAAAGAACTTTTTTAAGGTTTATTTGAGAGAACGAGTATGAGGGAGAGGGGCAGAAGGTGAAGAAGAGAGAATGTTTTAAGCAGACTCTGTGCTGAGCATGGACCCCAATGTGGGGCTCGATCTCACGACCCCCAGATCACCACCCTGACATCACGACCTGAGCCGAAACCAGGAGTCAGACGCTCAACCAACTGCACCACCCAGGCACCCTGAGGCTGAAGAACTTTTAATAACTAAAAGTATATTTCCCTTCTACAAAGGGATAAAATTCCAATGTGAGGGGCACCTGGGTGGCTTAGTCGGTTAGGTATCTGCATTTGGCTCTGGTCATGATCCCAGGGTCCTGGGATCGAGTCCCACACCGGGCTCCCTGCTCAGTGGTGAGTCTGCTTCTCCCTCTCCCTCTGTGGCTCCCCCTACTTGTGCTCTCTCTCTCTGTCAAATAAATAAAAAAAAATCTTTAAGAAAATATAAAATAAAATAAAATAAAATTGCAATCCAGTATCCAAGATTGAATCTTGGAGCAGAAAAAGGAAATGAATGGAAAAACTGGTGAAGTCTGAATAAAGCCTGGAGTATGGTCAATAGCAATGTACCAACGTCCATTTCTTAGTTTTGACGGGTGTACCATGGCTAGGCAAGATGTTAACTTGCAGAAAAACTGGGCAGAGTGTATATAGGACACCTCTGTACAATCTTTTCAACTTTTCCATAAATCTGAAATTATTCCCAAAAAAGTTTATTTAAAAATATTAACCCTATCTCTAATTTTAGCCGCAGTGTCATTGTTGGTGCGGGCTACATTGCTGTAGAGATAGCTGGGATTCTTTCCGCTCTGGGCTCAAAGACATCACTAATGATACGGCATGATAAGGTAAATTCTGTCCTTTTTTCCTTTTCCCTTCCCTTTGCTTGACCTTTTAAAAAAATCTACCCTGAGAATATTAAAGACTACGGTGTAAAGCATGTGGAGGTCAGTTGGTTTATTCTGCGTGGAACTGCATAGAAGCTATTTGAATTGGGCCGTATGTCCTTAGAGCTGCCACTGGATAATGATTTTGATTGGATCAGACTGGCTGGTATTTTCATCATGAAGTGGTAGGTATCAAGTGCCTTAAAAAGAAACATGCAGGCTTACATATAAATATTTGTTAAATTAAACAGACTGTCAGGTTAATTTCTTATTCTGGAAATCAATTTCACATGATCAGAAGGTAGTGTTGGATTAATAACACTCAGTCAAAAAAATTTACTACATGGTTTGCATTAAAAGAAAACGTATCAAAGATATTTGCACACCTATGTTCATGGCAGCATTATTCACAAGAGCCCAGGGATGGAAGCAACCCAAGTGTCCGTTGACAGATGAATGAATAAATAACATGTGTATATCTGTACAATGGAATATTATTCAGCCTTAAAAGAAAGGTCATTCTGACCCAGGCTACAACATGGATGAACTTTGAGGACATTACGCCAAATGAAGTAAACCAGTCACAAAAAGACAAATCTTATGATTCCCCTTATATGAGGTATCTAGAGTTGTCAAATTCATAAAAATAGAAAGTAGAATGGTGGTTGCCAGGGGTTGAGAGCAGAAGGAAGTGGGGAGTAGTTTAATGAGTATAGTTTCAGTTTTGCAAGAAGTAAAGTTCTGGAGATGGATGGCACAACAATGTGAAGAGACCTAACACTAAGGAACTGTATCCTTAGAAATGATTAAGTTGGTAAATTTAATGTTATGTATTCTTTATCACAAAAAACAATAACAATAATAATAATAAAGGAAGCTTACAGATCATCTTATTGAATGTCATTTTATAGATGAAGAAATTAAGGCCAAGCAAAGTTTTGTGACTGCAAATTAGCATCATAACTGAGAGTCAGCTAAGGTCTTAGAAAGCTCAGGACAGTACAGTTGACCCTTGAAAACTTGGGGGTTAGGCGTGCTGACCCCCTGTACAGTGGAAAATCCAAGTGCAACTTTTGATTCCCTAAAAGCTACTAATAGCCTACTGTTGACCTTGGCCTGAAGCCTTATTAATAACATAAACAGTGAACATGTATTTCATATATGTGTTATATATCAAATTCTTAAAATAAAGTATGATGGAGAAAAGAAAATGTTACTAAGAAAATCATAAGAGGGGCGCCTGGGTGGTTCTGTTGGTTAAGCGTCTGACTCTTGATTTCAGCTCAGGTCATGATCTCAGTGTTGTGAGATCAAGCCCTGCATCGGGCTTCATGCTGGGCGTGGAGCCTGTTGAAGAGTCTCTCTCCCTCTCTCAAAAAAAAAAAAAACAAACATAAGAGAGGGGTGCCTGGCTGGCTCAGTGAGTAGACCATGTGACTCTTGATCTCAGGGTCATGAGTCAAGCCCCACATTGGGTTTAGAGCTTACTTAAAGAAAAAGAAAATCATAAGAGAAAACACATATACTGTATTCTACTGAAAAAAAAAAAATCTGCGTGTAAGTGGACACATGCAGTTCAAACGTGTTCAAGGGTCAGCTGTTTCTTTCTGCTCAAATGCAGCCTTCATGTCATTACCTGTTGAAGTGTTACTTTATATGTTTTTTTGATTAGTCATGATAGTACCCCTGGGTTTTGGTACAGTATCGGAGCTTTCAGAGACATGGTTCCAGGCAATAATAAGAGTATTGGCCTAAGAATCTGGCTGACCTTAACAAGCGTGTGATTTGGACAAGTCATTTAATGCTTTAGGGACAGGATTTATCAGATCCCTAACCATTCAAATGCTGTGATTCTAATTCTTGATTATTTGAGCAAATAGAGGGAGACAAGGGAAATTGATAACCCCAGTCAACATGTACTTGAGGGAACTTTCTCTTTGGCTTTGAGACTTGTCATATAATTCACCTGCAGGAAATTTATATTTTGAATAATGTCTCCTCTAGGTTTAATGTTATGTTATTTTGCATCACAGGAATATATCCAGCAAACTGGATGGAAGGAAGTAGAGAGGCAGAGGGATAGATAGCCTTAATTTAATGTGTAAATAAGTAAATAAACTGCAGCAGTTTATCAACAGAATGGATAATTCCTACATTTGGAAAATCAGCTCATTTGCACATGTCCTTGGGTTTCCTGCCCTCGCCAACCCCCCTAATTCTCCTCCTCTTTCCTGTCCTGGTGTAAGTCCATTCTAGAACTTTCCTATGAATAACTCATGACCTCCCATCTTCACCCTGCCTGGGGTTTGTTGCATGCAGATTATCACAAAGAACTCTTCGAGGCCATGTCTTGACTTTTTTTGCATAGATAAGGAGATTTTGCTAGCAAGATCTTCCCTTGAATCATACCAGAATGGAACCTGCCTTGGAAATACTGAAAGGGGAAGGAGAATTTCTGGACCCAAGACATAATTATGGAGAAAAGCAGCAAGCTTGGGAGGAGAGGGACATGGCGAAGAGAGTAGAAGCCTGAAGGTTGCCTGTCTATTTAACTCTAAAACAGGAGTTGGTGAAATCAGACATAATACAGACATTGGGGGTGATGTAGGAAAATAGATTAAAACTCCACTTACAATATGGCCATGAATGAAAGAGGAGATAGGGAGGATGCTGATATTTGGCTCCCAAGTTTGTAACGTTATCTTTAATCAAGTTTTATTCCTTTCCCACCACCCATCCCTCTGGTGCCTCTGTTTGTATACAGGTACTTAGAAATTTTGATTCAATTATCAGTTCAAACTGCACTGAAGAGCTGGAGAATTCTGGCATAGAGGTCCTGAAGTACTCACAGGTATGGCTGAGCCCCAAGCATGCTTACAGCCCTTCTTCGAAGCTCTGTGTGTCCTGAATCACACTTTCTGCTTTTGGTTCCACCCGAGTGTTTAATAAACACAAACTCTATGTCTCCCCCAGTCAATGTATCCTTTCTAGAGTTACCAATTCTTTTCTTTATCCTAAGAAGCTATATTTCTCAATTATGTGAGTAAAGTCAAGGTATAAAGGATTAGAAATCTGGTAGTTGAATTTAGTTAGAACTACAGCTCATTTTTTTTTTGTGCTCAAATGCCTTATTGAACATGCTTATTTTTGAGGTTTATATTTATTTTTCAGGGAATAATATTATGGAATCTTTTTAAAGTATACCCTTTTGAGTTCTGCAAATGCACAGAATTATAGAGTACTCTACTTCTTAGGGAATCATTAAATTTCAGTTTTCCTGGAGCATTAGGTTTGCAAAAGCAATTTGGTCCCTAGAGCTGCACCCTCTCAGTGATGGCCCTATCAAGTAAAATAATAAATGTGAAATTGCTTTGTGAATGTCAAAGTGATAACCTGGTAGTGGGGTCAGAACCCCTTGGGATCTGCACTAAACTGTGTGCATCCAGCTCTTCTGACCTGATTCTCACCTCCTCTCTGTTCTGATTAAGAACATCCAGGAGAAGGGGCACGTGGGTGGCTCAGTCGTTGAGCGTCTGCCTTCGGCTCGGGTCATGATGCCAGGGTCCTGGGATCGAGCCCCGCATCGGGCTCTCTGCTCGGCCGGGAGCCTGCTTCTCCCTCTCCCACTCCCCCTGCTTGTGTTCCCTCTCTAGCTGTCTCTCTCTCTCTCTGTCAAATAAATAAAATAAAATCTTAAAAAAAAAAAAAAAAAGAACATCCAGGAGAAACATCGACTATGAGGTGTGAGCAAGGTTCTTAGTGATGCTGCTGCAACCCTTATCCTCCCCACCCTTCAGTCACCAATCACTGTGCTTAGATTTGTGACTTAAAATTTTATCACGATTTTTAAGAAGCACAGTTTAAAAACCTTGTTTTTAAGCTGAAGCACTAGGGTGCTGACACAAGCAGACATTTCTGGCCGTTGGCTGGATAATTCCAGCCAACCTAGGAAACAGTCTTGGCTCCTAGGAGTTGTGGTGTTGGCGTCATTTGGGCAAAAGTGAATGTGTCAGCATGAAGGATCCACACGTAGGATTTGGTGGAGATTTTTTAAATGTTAAGAATTCTAATTTCCTCTTTGTTTTCCATTGCCAATAGGTCAAGGAAGTTAAAAAGACTTCCTCAGGCTTGGAAGTGTGCATGATTACTTCAGTTCCTGGTAGGAAACCCACCTTGACCACAATTCCAGATGTTGACTGCCTCCTATGGGCCATTGGGCGGGACCCAAACTCCAGTGGCCTGAATTTGAACAAAGTGGTAAGCTGACTTAGTCTAACCAAAGCATTCTTGAATCTGTTAGCAGTCCTATGTTCCCCACCCCCTGCCCCCACTAAACTTTGGTGGGTTCTGTTAGATTTTTTTTCTCTTTTTATCCATGCATCCAGTTTGTCATCAAATCCCATTGCTTCTTTGAAATTGAAAAAAAAAAATTATTTTACCTTTTTAATGTGATCACCCTAGATCAGGTCTCTGCCCTGAGTAGCCTCTTTCTTACAGATTTCCTTTTTACAGTGATACTTGGCTCCTTAAAGTCCTGTAATTACTTCTTTTTTTTTTTTTTTTTAAGATTTTATTTATTTATTTGAGAGAGAGAATGAGATAGAGCGAGCATGAGAGGGAGGAGGGTCAGAGGGAGAAGCAGACTCCCTGCTGAGCAGGGAGGCCGATGCGGGACTTGATCCCGGGACTCCAGGATCATGACCTGAGCCGAAGGCAGTCGCTTAACCAACTGAGCCACCCAGGCGCCCCCTGTAATTATTTCTTATCATCTGCAAACTAATCTCCATTGCTGGGTGTGTCAGTCATCCTGAACATTTGGGCACTTGGGGTTGGAAGTAGATGTGAAGCCGATCTACCAGTGTTATAATTAACATTCTGAGGTGTTCTTTTAGATTTTGAAGGCAAGTCTATTGTCTACCTAGCTTGGGGTCTAGGTCCCAGAGTTTGACCCAATTTTGAGTCTTAGTTCTGTTACTTACCAGTTGCATGGCCTTAAGCAAGCAGCTTAATTACTCTTTAAGTTTCAATTGCTTCATATTAGTGTAGGAATAAAAATAGTCCTTATCTCACTGGGTTATAGAGAAGAGTAGATGATGAGAAAGTGCATGCAAAGTAATTAGTTTATTTATTTAAAGATTTTATTTATTTATTTATTTGAGAGAGAGAAAATGAGAGAGCACAAGTGGTGGGGGAGAGGGAGCAGCATGCTTTGTGGGGTGCCACCCCGGCGCCCCACAAAGTAATTAGTTTAGATGCTGGCTTGTAGTATGAACTCAGTCCATGTTAACCAGCTGCTGTTGTTGATAATTTTGATGATTTTCCTGATACCCTTTACTACTCTACAAGTAATAATAGGATTATTTTATGTTTGTGGTTTATATATTTGATGGAACCCTCTTGCGCATCAGGTAACATTTTGATTTATGTTCTAATAGTAATATCCTTTACCATGTGGATTATTTTTTCAGCTCATAAAAGGTATTTTTCAGCATTTTAAAAATAAAATATTGGGGCACCTGGGTGGCTCAGTCATTAAGTGTCTGCCTTCGGCTCAGGTCATGATCCCATGGACCTGGGATCGAGCCCCAAGTCGCTCCCTGCTTAGCAGGAAGTCTGCTTATCTCTCTCCTCTGCCTTCCCCCTCTACTCATGCTCTCTCTCTCTCAAATAAATAAAAATCTTAAAAAAAAAAAAAAAGACGTTTTTCGTCTTGTGGTTGAGGGTTGTGGTTTTTAAAGATTCGGGCTGAAGAGGTGCTTGAAATGAAGATCCAGAGATTTGGTTTGCCTTTTTTGGTAGATTGACCAAATAGTGACATGATAGCCTTTCACTTTTTTAGGGGATTCAAACTGATGACAAAGGTCATATCATAGTAGATGAATTCCAGAATACCAGCATAAAAGGCATCTATGCAGTTGGGGACGTGTGTGGAAAAGCTCTTCTTACTCCAGGTACTGTTTTCCTCATTTCTTGGGTAAGGGAAGCTCTGTGGGTTATATAAAACCGTTCAGCTCTTCACAGTCCAATCAGCTTAAGCAAAGTTAAAAGGATGAGTGTCTTAATGCTGTTGAAATAATAGTATATTGAAGTAGTTTGGTACCTGATGTTTTCTGAATAATATTCATTTTTCCTTAGAAGACTTTAAAAGGGCTTTAGTGAAGACTAAAATTGTTACAGAGATGATATGGTCACCTTCTGAAGAAGCTGTAAGTTAGAATCTGAGTTGCATGTGGTGATAGTGGAAGGAAGTGGCTTTGGGAAGAAGCAGTTTAGAGTAGCATTCTTACATGATTATTTAGTCTTTTTTTTTTAAGTTTTTTTTAAATTTGTGTATACGTATTTTTTAAGTAGGCTCCATGCCCAACGTGAGGTTTGAACTCACGATCCTGAGACTGAGAGTTGCGTGCTCTACCCACTGAGCCAGCCAGGCGCCCTGATTATTTATTACAATGACCAAGATTGACCCAACTCCCATAATCCCATACGTCAACCTACTTTCTGAGTTAACTGGCACCATTTCAAGCTTTTTTCCCCACTTTTTTTTTTTAAGTATTACTACCTTTTTTTTTTTAAGATTTTATTTATTTATTTGACAGAGAGAGACACAGCGAGAGAGGGAACACAAGCAGGGGGAGTGGGAGAGGGAGAAGCAGGCTCCCCAAGGAGCAGGGAGCCTGATGCAGGACTCGATCCTAGGACCCTGAGATCATGACCTGAGCCAAAGGCAGATGCTTAACAACTGAGCCACCCAGGTGCCCCTTTTCCCCACTTTTATTAGTGACATCACTCCATCTGCTTTCACTCTGTGCCCCTGTGGTACCTCACCAGCCTTTCTAGAATGGCGCTGGATCTTTCCTCAGGATGGAAAGTTACTGCAGTCACACACCCAAAGCCTTTTAGCTCCTTCTGGAAGTTCTTTTAACAAAAGCAAAATAACAAGCAAAGTTTCAAAAACTTGATAACTAATCTAATCGTTGAAAATTATATCAAAGAAAATTTCTTATGTATCCTACTGATACCTTATTTTGGGGAAAAACTGTCAATTTGAAATCAACAAAATTATTAACTGATGCTTTTACTGAATAATAGGCATTTTTTCTAAATATGAGATAAAAACAGGCTAAGGAGAATAAACTTAAAAAAAAATAATAATAAGGGCGCCTGGGTGGCTCAGTCTGTTAAGCGGCTGCCTTTGGCTCAGGTCATGGTCCTGGAGTCCCAGGATCGAGTCCCGCATCGGGCTCCCTGCTCGGCGGGGAGTCTGCTTCTCCCTCTGACCCTCCCCCCTGTCATGCTGTTTATCTCTCTCCCAAATAAATAAATAAATAAAATCTGTAAAAAAAAAAAAAAAAAGAAGTAAAAATCATTTAAAAAATAAACTTAAAAGGGGCGCCTGGGTGGCTCAGTCGTTATGCGTCTGCCTTCGGCTCAGGTCATGATCCCAGGGTCCTGGGATCGAACCCCGCATCGGGCTCCCTGCTCCGCAGGAAGCCTGCTTCTCCCTCTCTCACTCCCCCTGCTTGTGTTCCCTCTCTCACTGTGTTTCTCTCTGTCAAATAAATAAAAATCTTTAAAAAATAAATAAATAAATAAACTTAAAAAAAATCTTATGGGGGCACCTGGGTGGCTCAGTTGGTTAAGCGTCTGACTCTTGATCTCAACTCAGGTCATGATCTCAGGGTTGTGAGTTCAAGCCCTGCGTTGGGCCCTGACTTAAAAAAAAAAAAAACTTACTCTGTCAAGTCAGTAGCAATATGACTAAGTGTGTAACTGGTGATTGTCTGAGACCATGGTCACCAGAACCAAATGGGCCCAGAAATCCTCTTGGACAGTAAGGGAGAGTGTGGGGTCATTCACCACCCAGGATTGTGGTCTTTATCCTTGCCAATGAGAGCCCTAATCCTCCAGGACCAGCCAGGGAGGAGGAGCCACAATGTACCTGATAGAGAGGCTGAGGCTGGGGGGCCTTCTAGGGAATTAAAGGGAAAAAAAAAAAAACCCATACTGTGAAATGCATAATGTTATAAAGTGGAGCTATAGTTGGTCAAAACTAATATAGTTTGCTTCATTAATAATGTATCAAAAAGCTAATATCCTAATTAAGTAGGTAACTGCCAGATGATTGGGAACTAGTAAATAAGCCCCCTCACCCTTTCTTTGTCCTAATAGAATGTACAGAATTTATATAAGATGATAGTTTTGAATTGTTAACAGGCATTGGTATGTCTTCATTATAGTGACCTAGATATTATAATGAGCATTGGCGTAAAACTTTGTCAGAAGTAGTACATTAAGCCAGACGAGGAAATGGTTAGAACAATTCTGTGGTTTTAAAGTGAGCAATAAACTGAGACGCTGATTTACAAATATCTTTGTAGTTGCCATAGCTGCTGGCCGAAAACTTGCCCATAGACTTTTTGAATGCAAAGAAGATTCCAAATTAGACTATGACAACATCCCCACGGTCGTCTTCAGCCACCCCCCGATTGGGACAGTGGGACTCACGGAAGGTAGGTGTTTAAAAACAAAGGTGATTTATAGTTTCCATCTTCCCCCTGACTGCAGGGGGAAGGTGCTGACTAAATCTCCCTGCACTCCCTAAATTCCACTCCTTTCTGGTTGGCCTCTTACCACAATTCGTTTCCTCCCTAACTGCCAACACTTGGAGAGTAGAATTCCTTTTCCCCACACCACCCTGTGTGTCTTTGCCTTTTTTTTAGCTTTTTTTATTTGAACTAATTTCAAATTTAAAGAAAAGTTGCAAAAATATAGTAATTCCCCTTATCTGCGGTTTCGCTTTCTGTGGTTTGTTACCCGCGGCCAACTGTGGTCTGGAAGGACATGATCCTCCTGACTTACTGTGAGTAGGTTGGGAGTAGCCTAACACTAGGTCACAGCACCTACATCACTCACTTCACCTCCTCACACAGGCATTTTATCACCTCACATCATCATAAGAAGAAGGGTGAGTGCAGTACGATAAGGCATTTTGAGAGAGGGAACTTTTATTATAGTGTACTATAATTGTTCTGTTTGTAATTATCAGTTATTGTTCATCTACTGTGCCCAGCTTATAAATTAAGCTTTATCATAGGTATGTATGTATAGGAAAAAATAGTATACATAAGCTTTGGTATTATCCACAGTGTCAGGCATCCACTGGAGATCTTAGAATGTTTTCCCTGTGGATAATAGGAGACTACTGTAGTACAAAGGACTATGTATACCCATAACATTTTTGCTTTACCATAATTTTCTCTACACACACGCATAAACACACACACTTCAGTATCTATTTCCTAGGAACGAGTCCATTCCTTTACATAAGCTACGGTTTTCAAAAGACAACATTTAAATTGATAAAATATTGGGTGCAGGGATAGGCAAAAATAGGTAAAGAGGATAAAGAGGTACAGACCTCAAGTTATAAAATAAGTCATGGGAATGAAAAGCAGAGCATAGCGAATATAGTTATTAATATTATAATAACTTTGTATACTGACCGATGGTGACTACACTTAATCATGGTGAGCATTTTGCAATGTTTATAATTGTCGAATCGGTATGTTGCATGCCTGAAACTAACATAATGTCAACTATACTTCAGTTTACAAAAAAGGTATTAAAAAAATAAATTCATACAATATTATCCAAACTATTCACATTTTGCTAATTCTCTCAAATAATGTCATTTTTTCCTTCTTTAGATTTTTTTTAAGTAATCTCTATACCCAATGTGAGGCTCAAACAACCGCCAGATCAAGAGTCACATGCTCCACTGACTGAGCCAGGCAGGAGCCCCTCAAATAATGTCATTTTTAACACTTTTTCCCCCAAGGTCAGGATTCAGTGCAGGATGATGCATTGTATTTAGTTTTCATTCCCCTTTGGTCTCCTTTAATCGAGAGACAAAATTCCTTAACCTTTCCTTTGTCTTTCATGACATCAGCATTTATGTTACAGAATGTCCCTCATTGAAGTGTTGATATTTTCTCATGATTTGACTCAGGTTATATATTTCTGGCCATCTCTCTCTTTGATAGCTCAGTGGAATTATTTAGGTTTTTGACAGATGCTTTTTTTTCCCTGTGCATTATAGATGAGGCCATTTATAAATATGGAAAAGAAAATGTGAAGACCTATTCAACCACCTTTACCCCGATGTATCACGCCGTTACCAAAAGGAAAACAAAATGTGTGATGAAAATGGTTTGTGCCACCGCAGAGGAAAAGGTATGGGGAAAATGTAGTAAGCTAAAAAATGTTTTCAGACTTGCAGGGATGGGGGTATTTTGGTGGGGTGGGGAGACCAAGTAAAGTGTTAAGCCTTCTCTGTTTCAGCTGATGCAGTCCCACTTTTATCTGCCTACATATACTGGGATTCTTTGTAATATTTCATTAAGAAAGAAGGTTCCAGGGGCACCTGGGTGGCTCATTCAGTTAAACGTCTGCCTTTGGCTCAGGTCATGATCCTGGGGTCCTGGGATCAAGCCTCCCATCGGGCTCCCTGCTCAGTGGGGAGTCTGCTTCTCCCTCCCCCTCTGCCTCTCCCCCCCACCCACTCGTGTTCTCTCTCTCACTTCGCTTTCTCTCTCAAATAAATAAAATCTTTTTAAAAAGAAAGAAAGAGGGGCACTTTGGTGGCTCAGATGGTTAAGCGTCTGCCTTCGGCTGGGGTCATGATCTCCAGGTCCTGGGATCGAGCCCCACGTTGGGCTCCCAGCTCAGCAGGGTGTCTGGTTCTCCCTCTCCCTCTTCCTCTCCCCCTGCTTGTGCTTTCTCTGTCTCTCTCTCTCAAATGAATAAATAAAAAATCTTTTAAAAAAAATAAAAAGAAAGGTTCCATGTGTTTGTGCTTTTAAAACATAGGAGGGAGGGGCGCCTGGGTGGCTCAGTCGTTAAGCGTCTGCCTTCGGCTCAGGTCATGGTCCCAGGGTCCTGAGATTGAGCCCCACATCAGGCTCCCTGCTCAGCGGGGAGCCTGCTTCTCCCTCTCCCACTCCTCCTGCTTGTGTTCCCTCTCTCCTGTCTCTCTCTCTCTCTGTCAAATAAATAAATAAAATCTTAAAAAAAAAAACAAAAAACATAGGAGGGAAAGGTTGAAAACCACAGAAAAGCTCACTGTCATTGACCCATAGGTTAGCATAGATAGGCCCCTCGGAAATACTGATAAGTGTAAGAACTTAATGGAAGATAAATTTAGATTTAACATAACCAATCTGAAGAAGAGAGCGCTTATTCAATAAAAAATTTTCTGAGATATCACTTATCTAGTTTTGGTTTAATATTTTGAGGACCTGCCTGGCTGTTTTCCAGAGTAGCTGCATGCTTTTCACATGCCCCTCAGCACTGCATGAGGGTTCCAGTGCCCCCACCCCCTCGCCAACACTTGTTACTGTCTTTTATTATAATTGTCCCAGTGGATGAGAAGTGGTATCTCATTGTGATTTAAATTTTGGACAGGTTTGAATTTAAACAGGTTTTTAAAAAAATAATTTTTAAATAGGTTTATTTGGGTATTAGGCCAACCTATGGGGCTTTTCTACAAATTGAATTAAATATTACAGTGGGACATAGCAATATGCTCTAGGAACATGGCTCTGGGAAGGGATAGCAGCTTAGTTGAAGATTCAGGTGTAGTTTCCAGTTTCTCTTGTCAAAAAGAGCACAGTCTGTATCTGATTCAGTGACCCTATAAACCAAAAGCCACAAGACATAGTCCCTGGATTATAGAAATCAACGTCACTGAGGATTGACAGAAGCAGAGAATCAGAGCAAAGAAAGTAAGTGGGTTGGCAGCAAAACAAAAGTTGCTGTTTTTTGGCCCTGAATGTTCCTGAATAGGATAAGATGTCCAGATATTAAATCAGTGAGGTCTCTACTTCTCTTATCAGTTATTTCTTCATGCCCTTTATCATTCATTTGATAAATATTACCTGACAGACTACCAAAGACTAAGAACTGGGATATGGAGAGGAATCCTATAAAGTTCCTGCCATCCCCCAAAACTTAGTAAATTTAGTTTAGATCACAGTATCTAAAAATCTGTATGGTTTGGGACTTTTATGTTTTAAATTGAGATATACTTTTTTTAATTGTAAAAAAAAAAAAACATAAAATTTACCATCCTAATCATGGTAAGTATAGAGTTCAGTAGTATATTCTTTTTTTTTTTTTTTTAAGATTTTTATTTATTTATTTGACAGAGTGAGAGAGCATAGCAGGGGGAGCACAGAGGGAGAGGGAGAAGCAGGCTTCTTGCCAAGCAGGGAGCCAAATGCGGGGCTTCATCCCAGGACCCTGGGATCATGACCTCAGACAAAGGCAGATGCTTAACCAACTGAGCCACCCAGGTGCCCCTCAGTAGTATATTCTTGCTCTATTTTTAACCAAAGTATTTCTGTGGCTAAATTTTATACTTTCTCACTCTGCTGAGAATATTTGCTGGAGGGCGCCTGGGTGGCTCAGTCGGTTAAGTGTCTGCCTTTAGCTCAGGTCATGATCCCGGGGTCCTGGAATTGAGTCCTGCATCAGGCTCCCTGTTCAGCGGGAAGCCTGCTTCTCCCTCTTCCTCTGCTCTCCCCCCGCCTCTTGTGTGCTCGCTCTTGCTCTCCTGCTCTGTCAAATAAATAAATAAAATACTTAAAAAAAAAAAAATTTGCTGGAGGTGGAACATTAATACAGTTTTTAAATGATTGAGAAACAACTGGAAGATGCGATATGAAACAAATGTCTCTTAATGGTCCTTCGTGCGGTCATCCAGTGTGTGTGGACTAAGGGCCTCCTGAGGGCCATCTTTTGCTTGGTCATATGGAGAGAGCAGGAAGCAAATATAGGCAGGTTCCCTCTCTGTAGAGATTAAAATCTGCAGGGAAGATGGGCTGTAATTTTCTAGTCCCCAAATAAATAGAACATTGTAGTTGTAAGAGTCATGAAGGAGAGGGCGCCTGGGTGGCTCAGTTGGTTGGGCGGCTGCCTTCGGCTCAGGTCATGATCCTGGAGTCCCAGGATCGAGTCCCGCATCGGGCTCCCTGCTCGGCGAGGAGCCTGCTTCTCCCTCTGACCCTCCCCCCTCTCATGTGCTCTCTCTCTCTCTCTCAAATAAATAAATAAAATCTTTAAAAAAAAAAAAAAGTCATGAAGGAGAGATACTGGTACCAAGTGATCACGTGATAGACAGTTTCACTTGGTTGGGAAGGCAAGTGTAGCTCTCGGAAGAATGAATGGGCTTTAACTCAAAAGGGGAGGAAAAATTGTCCAGACAGAGGGAACAGCTTGTGCAAAGGAGAGAGCATGGTGAATACTCGGGACGGAAGGAAAGCCAGAGGGGCCTGAGAGGGGAGGGCTGTGTAGGGTGGGCTGGGGAGAGACATGGAGGCAGGACGGCGTAGGACCTTGTAGGCTGTGTTCTGCCATGTCCAGGTGAGAGACTCAGGTGTTTTTGAGATTTTAAAATATCACGTATCTCGCATGACAAATAAAAAACGTATTCGTCTACCTAATAAAAACTTTTACTCATGACAAATAAAAAACGTATTCGTCTACCTAATAAAAACTTTCACTTTAAGAATTTTTCCTCCCCTCTCCCTAGGTGGTTGGGATCCATATGCAAGGAATCGGGTGTGATGAAATGCTGCAGGGTTTTGCTGTTGCAGTTAAAATGGGAGCAACAAAAGCTGACTTTGACAACACGGTTGCTATTCACCCTACCTCTTCAGAAGAACTGGTCACGCTTCGTTGAAAACCCAGAGACTTGTATGGTGGGCAGCTGGACCAGGAGACCCAAAAAGAACCAAATTACCATGTTTACTTACCACCGTTCCCATTTTATGTATTTCTTTATTGTAATCAGGAAATTCTGATAGTGGAAATTTTCAGTGTGTAGTAGGACTTATGTAATTAGAAAGTTGTTTTGTCATCCACGGTTAATTTTCATTTGATTGCACCTCACAGTAATCAATATTTTAAAGTTTGGGTTTTTTTTTTAATTTTTTATTGACAGCTCTGTGCTAGCTGGTTTTTTGTTTTGTTCTGTTTTGTTTTTGTTTGAGCTTCCTTCCAGCTAAAAAACTATATGAAGTACAGTTAATTAAGGTGTTTGAATGACTATCGCTTGCTGATTTTTATAGATGAAGATGACAGCAGGTCTGCATATTGCAAAGCTACTTCAACAATGTGACCTTTCTCCAAAAGCGTGTGACAGGAGAGACCGCTTTCCTACTCTGTTTCTTTTGCTTTAAATGATTAAAGATCATGTTCCTTTTATGAGGTGCAGTACATCAAACTTGGGAAAGATTTACATGAGTGAGGGACATTTTGGCAGTGATTTCTGCTTTCAGAAGGAGAGGAATTAAAAGTCTCTTCCTCGGGCGCCTGGGTGGCTCAGTTGGTTAAGCGACTGCCTTCGGCTCAGGTCATGATCCTGGAGTCCTGGGATCGAGTCCCGCATCGGGCTCCCTGCTCGGCGGGGAGCCTGCTTCTGCCTCTGACCCTCCCCCCTCTCATGTGCTCTCTCTCATTCTCTCTCTCTCAAATAAATAAATAAAATCTTTAAAAAAAAAAAAAAGTCTCTTCCTCTGCTGAGAATTCATAGTTCAATGAATGATTTCAAGTTTTTTTATGTGCTCTTGTCATTTTTTTTTCCTGAAAACTATGTCCAAAAATCTGAAAATAAAATCCTAGCCTTGGGGCGCCCGGGTGGCTCAGTCGTTAAGCGTCTGCCTTCGGCTCAGGTCATAATCCCGGGGTCCTGGGATCAAGCCCCGCATCGGGCTCCCTGCTCCGTGGGAAGCCTGCTTCTCCCTCTCCCACTCCCCCTGCTTGTGTTCCCTCTCTCGCTGTGTCTCTTTCTGTCAAATAAATAAAATCTTTAAAAATAAAAAAATAAAAAAATAAAATAAAATCCTAGCCTTTTCTTCTTACAGAATTTGTTATTAGGGATTTATAGCTAAGAGGTCATTTTCTAAGATATTTCACATTGGAGATTACATGCTAACAGTGAGCTACCTTAAGTAGGCTTAAGGCCTTATGAGGGGTAAAAAAAGAGATTTTTATAGATTAAGAGCAGAGGTATAAAAGAAGCGCTTAGCAAAGTTAATGGTTGAGTTGGAAGAACAGTCTAGAAATCACTTAGGTTTTTAGCATTTTATTTCCATTAGCTTGCACCAAGTAGGTAAATTAGTTAAATTTTTCCATGGTTTTCATTAGTGACATAGTGCTACTGATTTCTTTCTTCAAGCTTTTACTGAATGTCTTTCTGGTTAGCCATGGCCAGGTTGCTGACTTGGTGAGTAGGTCCAATGTCATCAGAAGAAAAATACCACATTAGTAACTAGGTTATGTAACTGTTGCAGCAAGAAAATAGGGTCTAAAAACCCAAACATGGACTGACATAACTCCTCCTCCTCATCTCTTTGTCAACCACCTAAAAGGTAGTGGACCACGGTTCTGGGCTCTGCCGGCCTGGTTTTGTCTTACTCTGCGTAGAGCCCAGACTTTGGGTGTTACTTTGTAAGGAACAGGGGAGACGCTTCTAGTTAGATCCACTCTAACACCATGTGTTTTTTATCTTAGGTGTCCTTTGCCCTGCTTTTTTTCTGGGTCCATAGTAAACCAACATGCAAGTAACCTTTTCCAAGTTGCGGTCTTCATTCTCATCAGGTCCCAAGTGAGTCTAGCCTGTGAGGTTATCGGGCAGCACAGCTTCCACTACTCAAAGCACTGGGCCACGTGAAGATACACAAGGTGGCACGTTGTATACTCTCTGCACGTTGTAGGTCCCCTCATTAGAGTGGATTTGAAGAAAGGACACAGTACAGTTGACCCTTGAACAACATGGGTTTGAATTGTGTGGGTCTACTTATATGTAGATATTTTGCAGTACTATAAATGTATTTTCCTTCTGATTTTCTTTTTTTAGGATTATTTATTTGAGAGAAAGAGAGCACAGGAAGGGGGGGGGGGAGTAGCAGAGGGAGAGGGAGAAGCCGATTTCTCGCTGAGCAGGGAGCCCGACACGGGCTTGATCCCAGGACCTGAGCCGAAGGCAAGATGCTTAACCGACTGAGCCACCCAGGCACCCCCCCCTTCTGATTTTCTTAATAACATTTTCTTTTCTCTAGCTTATTTTATTGTTTTTTTGTTTTTTAGTGAGCTCTGTGCCCAATGTGGGGCTTGAATTCATGACCCCAAGATCTAGAGTCACAGGGTCTCCTGCTCTACCAACTGAGCCAGTCAGGTGCCTCTCTAGCTTATTTTATTGTAATAATGCAGTATATAACACACAAAGTAATGTGTTAATCGACTGTTTATGTTATCGGTAAGGCTTCCAGCCAACATAGGCTATTAGCAGTTAAGTTTTTGGGGAGTCAGAAGTTAATACAGGTATTTTACTGCATGGGGGGTTGGTGTCCCTAACCCCACATTGTTCAAGGATCAACCATACTTGCTTTCGAGTAATCATGTAGTCTAGAATAAGAGCTAAAATTCTACACAAATAACTCACTCAAAGTTCATCACAGGGTGACCATATGTTTTATTGCCTAGAATGGGACACTGTTGGGAGTGAAAGGGGGCACTATTAATTAATTGGGACAATGGGCACTGATTTGTACTATTGCAGGAAAATGGGACAGTGCCATCCTAAGGAAGCATCATTGAAAGAGGTGGAAGTATGTGAGTTAAGAGAGAGAAAGTGCCATTTTGTTGGGAAAACTGAAGGGCATGAGAAAGGAAGATTATATAAGGTGTGGAATTTGGGATTGTGGAGGTCAGAACATGTGGAAGTTACAGTGAGGCAGAATCGGGCAAAGTACATATGAGAAATTAGAGTTCAATTTGACTGGAGCATCAGAGAGGACGTTGGTTTTGTGTAGAATAGTCTTCCCCACTTGTTTACCTGATGGTCTGGTTATGTGTCGCTGCATTACAAACTTCCTGAAAGCTTAGTGCCTTAAAATGGCAATTTTTTTTTTTTTTTTTTTTTTTTTTTGTATCATGGTTTTGTGGTTCAGGAATTGGAGCAAGACTCAGCTTGCAAGGATGCCTCTTCTACTGATGTTGACAAAGATCATTTTTTGGTATTCAAATGGTAAATGGGCTGGTCTAGAGACTCTGAAACCATCATTCATATGTCTGGCACTTAGACAAGGATGACTGATTGGAGGGCTGGCCTTCTCTGGGACTCTGAACCCCAGTGCCCCACATGTAGATTTTCCAGCATAGCTCTCTTAGAGTTGATGGACTTACGTGGAAGCTCAGGGCTCTCAGAGATTGTTCCGAGATTCCCAGACAGATGCTGCAAGCTTTATGATCTAACCTCGGAAATTCTAGAACATCGCCTCTGCCACATGCTATTGGTCAAGCAAATCACTAAGGCCAGCCCAGATTTATGAGGAAGTGAACTGAACTTCACCTCTCAGTGGGAGGAGTGGTAAAGAGTTTGTGTCCATCTTTAATTACACACCTGTCAACCTGGTCAATTTACAAGGCTTGCCTTAACCCATCTTTGTGAAGACTTCTTTAGTAGTTTTAGGTATTATGTTCCCATAACATCCTGTCTCATAGCAGGTCTGTGGTCACATAGTAGGTCTGCAGTACATGTTCACCTGGTCATTTTATACTTAACATCAATCAGTTTTATATTCTCTGTATTGAGTTTCACAGTACTGTTCCTGGTAGATCATGTAGCAACTTTCGCTGCAAGAAGACAAAGCCTGTGTTACTGTGTGATTTTTGATGTTAAAGTAGTAGAAAAGGCCAACATTTTAATCCTTTTTTTGAAAAATTAGTAGGCAGGATGTTCAGGTCTTCAACAGATTTTTCCCTTTCCATGAATCTGACCTCCTTGATGTAGATGAAGAGCTGTTAGAGGTGGATACGGAAGGTGGTTTCCACTGTGCCTGACCCTGAGAAATACTCTTTTATTGCCATTGCCTTTACAATATTTTAGCATTTTGATTCTTAAATGAAGATCAGAGTCAGTGATTATATCCAGTCATTTCTGTATTCTGTGTAGTATGTTTTAAGAGCTATTTAATGTTTTGGGGCAGTGGCAAAAGGTAAAGTGTTGGATGCTAGGGCTGGGTTATATCTAGACTTTATATATTTTTTAAAGATTTTATTTATTGGGGCGCCTGGGTGGCTCAGTCGTTAAGCGTCTGCCTTCGGCTCAGGTCATGATCCCAGGGTCCTGGGATCGAGCCCCACATTGGGCTCCCTGCTTAGCGGGGAGCCTGCTTCTCCCTCTGACCCTCCCCCCTCTCATGTGCTTGCTCTCTCTCACTCTTTCTTGTGCGTGCACTCTCTCTCTCTAATAAATAAATAAAAATCTTAAAAAAAAAAGATTGTGAAAGGAAATGCCATCAAAGTGGGTTTGGAAGATTAAAGTGGAAATAGGAAAAAAAATGGAGCGTAGGGTGGGAGATCAGAAGTGAGGCTGAGACTGTGAGGTAACAAAGGGCCTGGATTGGGGTGGTGGCAGTGGGAAAGCGAAAGGACACTTACAAGAAAATTTGCAATAGAAGAATCAACAGGATTCGTGAACTGACTGAATTTAGGGCTTGAGGGGTAGGGAAGAGTCAACACTAGGCCTGAAGTTTACAGCATGAGGAACTGGGAGAAATATACCATTAATAGATCATTCATAAAATCTCAACAGGTGGAGAAAGTTGTTTAAAGGGGACAGATGCTATGTTTTGGAGAAGTTGAATTTGTGGTCCCAGTATTTATCTGGATATGAAAAAAAGGGGAGTTTAGGAGAAAAGTCAGGACTAGGGAGACACATTTGTGAATTACACACCTGGAGGTCATAGTTAAAGCCACCAGTGTGTATGTATAAACCTTAAGGCAAGAAGGTGTGTTAAGAAAGAGAGGAGGCTAGAGTGTCAATAACACCCACACTGAAGGGGATAAGGAGCCAAGACCTCAGAGGAAAGAGATGGAGCAGGAGTAAAGACACGAGGAAAGAGCTCAAAGGGAGAAGGGAATGGTACACAGAAGGCCACTGAGCCCAAGACTTAAGAAAGCTACAGAAATTCACAGGAGTGTCAGTGTTCTTCAGCCAAGGACCAAAGGAACCCTTGTTGAACAGGTTGGGTTTGTTACTTGCTGCAGTAACGGTAACATATGGGGATATAGGGTGACATAGTAAGAGTACTTTCTTTTTTTTTTTTTTTTTTAAGATTTTATTTGAGAGAGCACACGAACAAGAGAGCATGAGCAGGGTAAGGGGTAGAGGGATAAGCAGACTCCCTGCTGAGCTGGGAGCCTGGTGCAGGGCTCAATCCCAGGACCCTGGGATCATGACCTGAACCGAAGTCAGATGCTTAACCGACTGAGCCACCCAGGCGCCCTAGTAAGAGTTCTTTCTAACAAAGAACCCATTATAGGATATGGACTTTCACTGGGTAATTTTGGGGAAGGTATAAGGAAGAAGAGGTTGATTCTAGATTGGTATTGTCAGAAAGCAGGAGGCAGCCTTCTGATTTTATATTACAATAAATGTTTGTCTGTGGGGAGGCAGCTCCACACACACACCAATTACTAGTAATTAGCAAAGAATAGCAGTAATTGATTCAGCAAGAGGGGGATGTGTGGTATTCTGTGCCACGTCGTGATCTTGACTAAAGTGAGTATTCTATGAAACTTTAGGTCCAACAGGAGAAAGATGATTTAGATTCATTCTCAGACTT